GGTAATCCTACCCCATCATAGGGGTGTTTTGGTTCTTACTTAACTGGTATGTGCTTTACAGTGAAACTGTACAAGGAAGTGTATATCAGTTGCCGACTTGGTATTTGTTTTGGGGCAGAATTCAGTAGGGAGTACAGTCATTCAGCTATGCTCATATATGTTCCAGTGAAATTGGACTGAGATGCTATCCATTTTCTCTTTTGCTAGGTAGTCCTCGAACCACAGCTTCAGAAGGCTTTGATATCCCCCGGATACTCTGGACTTGTGTTGATAGACTTTGTCAGGTCGGAGCTTCAATTCAAAAGAGCAACTAGTGTTTCCTTCGTCGGCAGCAAGGTAAAGAAGGGCCAAACAGGGCTCACTGGTTCCACTGATTCGATAGTCACCAGTTAGATCACCTTTGTTCAAACTCAGCAGACCCGTGATGGCACAAAGTCCGGAAGAAGTTGTGGCCATGATAGCGACATTAAACCAGGGAATCACCATGCAGGATGAGACCAATGCTGAAATGCAACGCCCATCTGGGGCACCTACCACACATCCAGTGTCGGGACCCCAACCGAACTTTGACCCACTTCTACCAATTGAAGATTTGCATGGTCTGGATCCCCAAGAAGGGTTAGCTCAAGCTCGAGTTTTCAGACCTCTGGTACAGCCTAATGAGAAAGAAACTTGACAGGAGAAAAAGGAGTTGTACACTTTCAATAAATGCACAAAAACAAGACTCTAGACCACTACCTTACCATGAATGATCAAAGGCAATTGAGACAAAAGAGATTGGCTTATTTCATCACTTTGAGTATGAAATGCTCCAATAGACCTTGTGTTCAATATAACGTCCGATTGAACACATGTGATGCAAACACAACATGCTTATCTTGTTCATGTTTTACTTGTCATGTTTTATTTACTCATTTTACATTATCAAATCATTCTTTAACCGGTTAAGTCCCTGGTGATTGTTCTCTAATGAGAGAGGGGTCAACCAAAGAATGATTTAAGACATGAGAGATATCATGCCTTTGGTTAGTAGAAACCCTCAAAAGAGGATTAAAACCATTGAGCACAAGCTCTATCTCAAGCTTAAACACAACCTTAAGGTTAACCAACCCTCAAAACAAATGAAAAAGTGAAGAAATGAGTAAGGTTGCAGATATTTCAGTGTTGAAATGGCATGAAAAATGATACTACCACATGCAAGTAACTCATGCACAACATGTTCAATAGCCAAAAATACTAAACTAGTGAAGAGCACTACACTATAGCCATGAAATATAAAGCTCAACTGACCATACCAGCTCAGAACATAGTTAAAATATGCCAAAACAGTGGCTAAAACTTGCTGAGATTAAGGCACAAAATGCTAGAAAAACATGCTCACATGTTAAGGTACAAACAAAACTCAAGAGCAACTCTAAAAAGCAATGAAAGAGTGAAGCAAATGAGCATGTGACAGAGCTATGAACACTGAAATTACATGTAAAAAGACACTTCAACATGCAAACATTTCAAGCAAATCAAGTTTAGAGGCCTAAAATGCCAAGCTAGTGAAGCCATTTGCACTACAACCATCCAAGACAAGGCTCATATGACCAAGACAGCCCAAAACAGAGTTAAATCATGCCAAATCAGTAGCTAAAACATGCTGAGATCAAGTCACAAAAAGGTAGAAAAACATGCTCACATGTTAGGCTATCTACACTTGCAAACAAGACACAAGGAGGGGAGGCCACACCCTCCTATTTTGGATCTCAAAACAAAGTTTTTACCACTAAAAATCCCCTGGAATGCAGTGGATAAAAGAGCCAAAAAAAGCTATTTTAAAATCTTTGAAAGATGGCACAACACTTTAATAAACAAGCTACAAGTATTTTAATGATGTTGCTGATTTTTTATGATGTTTTTAATGATGTTGGTGATGTAGTTGATGTTGTTGATGGTGATGTTCGGAAATTGGGGAAATCATAAAAAAAGCCTATTATAAGCTTTTGGGGTATTTTTGTCATATCAACATCAGTAAAAACTTGTATTTGCCCTACATCAAAAAAAAAAAATGTGTTAAATAAATGGGTATATACGTAATTAACATTCAAATAGGATTTATCAATCTACAAAATAAAAGGTAGGACCAAATGGTTCAACAAATTAAAATTTGGGATTTATTGGTGTTTTGCCCAATTATTAAAACGCAAACATTATTCAACTATGCTCCTTTTTAATTCATTAGGTCAAAATATTAAATTAGGGCTTTCCCTTCCTCACAACATAAACACGTTGAACTACTCCCCAATTAACCCAAACAATCATCAATTTTATAATTTCAACCCCAAGCGTTCAAACCCTAGATCTCATTTATATGTTTTTTTCGAAAATTCATAATGAGAATCCTTTTTATGCAATAAAATCTACCACATGTCTATCTATAGACGAGGTATTGAAGAGGAACAAGAAAATCTCTACCTCTTGAAGCGATGAGGGGAAAATTAAAAAATCCACTGTGACAAAAGCACGATCTGCTCAGATTAAAATGAAGTCCTTGCGACCGTCTACGTTTTGGTCTAAAGGACTAAGGGTCTAAGATGGGTAGAAGGAGATGAAAACTAGGTAGGAAGAACTTGGAAGCTCAATAATTGCGGAAGAAGAGAGAAGAGAGTAGAGAGAGAGAAAAGTGATCCAGATGTGACCAAAAATGACCTTTAAAGCTGCTGTATTCGGATAGACCACTCGAGCGAACAAAACACACTCGAGCAACCAGACACAAAAAGTGACACCACTCGAGCGATCGAAGTGACCGCTCGAGCACAGAATGACATCCTCTCAGAAGTTTTGCAGACAGAGGCTAACCGCTCGAGCCAAGACCGTTCGAACGAAGAACACTCTCTTCCAGTATCTTTACAGACCTGCAAAAATACTGGAAGTTCTCAAATACCACTCAAGCAAACAATCCATCGCTTGAGCGATGAAGAAAAACTCAAAGTGCTACAAGATGGACCGCAGGCTTATGGGCTAGATATACACACCTAAATAAATACATGGTTTGTGAGCCAGTTTTATGGGTGTTGGCTCACATTATCTTTGATAAACAATAGCACCAAACAGGCCCTTAGCATCCCACTTCAAGACAAAAAGGTAAATAACACTAACCTTTTTTAAAGTTGAGAAAAAATATAATAAGTTTCATATTTTTGATATAATTATACTTACCTCTCTTTTAATAAGTTATTTTTTAAGTAAATTACAAAAATATTATTTGAGGTTTGCTTAAAATTACAAATACATCATTGTCAAAAAACTTTATTTAACAAAATTAATTGAAAAAAATAAAATTCTTAACTGCTCTCTCCTATACATTGATAAAATTACCTGCATTATTAATTGAAACAAATTTATGACATCATTAAAAACTATTAATTGACTTGATAATTTATTAATAAAATGAGTCATTTGTAATGAAATTAGAAATTTCAAGGGACGAATTATAGGAGCAAATCATTTTTTAAAGCAAACCACAAGGGGTGTATTTAAAATTTAAGGTTAAAAAGATTAAAACTAATGAAGATGATATCAAGTCACAAAGATATATAAACTAAAATATACGTTTCGATATAAAAGAGATGACAATATTTTTTTTTCATTTATACAACCAAAACATTAACGATGAAAAAGAAGCCAAGTGTTATATGAATTAAACTTTAATGGAGTTTAGTGTAATTATGTCAAATTTGTGGGATTTACTGTATTTTTTTTTCCAATCTCAAAGGAGGTCAGTGTAATTTACGCAATATAAAAAGAATATTAAAAAAAAAAGTAGAGAGAAAAGAGTGAAGAAAAATAAAAGAAAAAAAAACTACAATTCAGTGAAATTTTTAAAAATTAATTATTGATTGATGAAAAAATTTATCACATTCTACTTTAATGTCTGTAAAACTAGGGTAAATTAAAAATATATCACTTGAAATTTGATTAAAATACGGATTGTCTCATGTAGTTTTAAAAATTACAAATATCTCCTTATTAGAATTTTTTGTTTAGCAAAATTGGCACCAAAAAAATGAAATTTTTAACTACTCTCTCATACAACAACAAAATTATTTGAATTATTGATTGAAATATATTTATGATATCATTAAAAATTATTATTTGACTTAATAATTAATTAATAAGGAAAATGTTAACAAATGCCACTTAGACATTGTTTAATATTAGAAACTGTGTAAAAAGTGTCTTGAAAATATGTGAACATGTTAAGCCTCTGTTTGGCAAGTGAGGTTGGAGGCTTTTTTGGCTATTTTAGCCACAAAAAACAAAATAGGCTATTTTAGCCATAACAAACAAAACATCACATCCAACCCATAATCATTACATTCTTCTCTCACAAAAAAACTCAAAAAAGCCAAAAAGCCAAAAAGCCCTTCCCAAACCAAGCTTTTAAGCCCAGGCTAAAATAGCCAAAAAAGCCAAAAAGCCAAAAAGCCAACCCACTTCCCAAACCAAGCCTAAAAATTATATTAATTTTAATAAAAATGCATTGAATTTAGTAAGAGAGTCTTGTGTTCTTTAATTTTTTAGTCTTTTATTTATGTCCCAGGGGCACTTATTAGCAAGACTTTATTAATAAAATAAGTCATTTGCTATGCGATTAGCAACTTGAAGAACCGAAATATAATTTTTAAAATTATAAGAGATAATTTTTATTTTAAGCAAATTTCAAATATGTATTTATAATTTATTCTAAAATGTATTATTGATTTGTAAACAGTTTTTAAAACCTGCACTGACATGTAATTTCCCCATGAGGAACAGGAAGGAGAATCCAAGGGGGAGTTTGAAGCAAAAGGCAAAAAAGTATAATGTGAAAATATGAAAAGGAAAAGTTTTTACTAATTAAGGGGATGGAGAGATGAGTAAAAGTTGCCTAAAAGGGTGGTTAATTAGTTGTTACTGGTCAAGGTCAAAAAAACCTCCCAAAAGAAAATTTATAATATTATAAATTTGGAATACAAAGACTGAAAACCCAAAGAGTTAAAAGCCAAGAAAAGGGCCAAACAGCCCTTTCAGACTTGGTGTCTATCTTCTGTCTATGTTTAATTCCTTCTTTCTTCAGCACCAAGAAACACAAATCAATTACATCTATATCTATCTCTCCCCATAGATCTGCTTTGACAATTTTTTTCCTTTTATTTCAGACAAAAAAAACCAACATGTCTCAATAATCAAATGATGGGTACACAAAGGGCTGTCAAGGTATCAATGTCCACATCCAAGGTATGTCACAAATCTTTCTTTTCCTCCATTTATATATTATAGATGTAATCTCCGAACTTGATTGTATTTGATTTGGGTTTTTTGTTTTGGGTCTCAAAATCTGCAATTTTTGCAGGTACCCATTAACTGCTTTATTGTTTCATACATTGCTCTGATTATGAAGTTTTTAGACTTAGCTATTGATTGGGTTGTTGTTTTCTATATGTACAGATTAATGGTGTCTGGAGTCTGTAAGGTGAGCTTGTATTTTGGAAATTGTGATGTGTGTTTGGACACTGAGGTCAAATTAGGGGTCAAAACTAGGGTTGGGTATTTGTTTAAACATTGATTTGGTTGCCGGATTGCTTAGGTGATAATATGTGAGGAGTGATGGTGACAACTACATTAAAGAGATTTATATACCCCTGTTGGAGGCCTTCCCCGCCGAATGAAGGCAAATATAGCAGTAAAGCGGGGGACGCATTTGGTCGGGTTGATGGGTTGTGGTGGTACAAAGATTCAGGACACCATGTTAATGGGGAATTTTCCATGGCTGTAATACAAGCTAACAATATATTGGAAGATCAAAGCCAAATTGAGTCAGGGCCAATGAGCTCGGTTGAGTCGGGTCCTCTAGGGACATTTGTCGGAATTTATGATGGCCATGGAGGTGCAGAAGCTGCTCATTTCATTAATAATCATCTTTTCAACAATATCAAGAGTATGTTTCTTTTCTGATTGCTACATTACTATTTTGTTTCCTGTATATTGTTATTGTACTTTTGACTAGTTCCCATTAAAGCAATCTGGTCATTTGGTAGTATGATACAAATCACTGGCATTCTATTTGTTCTTTAACTGTGATATTATACTCTTTTTGTTTTAGTTTAGGAGAATTTGTAATAATTTATTTTTATACTGAGAATGATATTTCTTGCAATTTATTCCTATACATTGGTGCAATTGTTGTGCCAATCTGGTTAGCTGCCTTCTATCACTCACATTGGAGCTCCATAGAAAACAGTATTCTTATTTGGACCATAGGGACTGACTTTCAGGAGTGAGAATTTATGATAAAAGCTTGCAAGCAAAAGGAAAGGTAGATATTTAGAAGCTTTCAAATCTAAAGCTGCTCTAGTAAGTTGGAGCAGATTCTGATCACAATGATTTTGTCCATAATATCAAATTGGGCTTTGATATTAGTTTCTGTGGGGAATAACTTTGATTTAGAGCAGATTTTGGGTTAGTGTGTACAAGTTGGGGAATATTTAATAAGACTTTTACTATGTTTTATAAAGAGGGAAGAAAAAAAAGTATTTGTCATCATCAGAGAGTCCTGCATTATATTTAAGGAAATTTGCTAATCGGTGTGGCAATACATTTATATTATTGAACAAATCATTTGTTCTGCGTTGGTGGAAAGATTTAGTTCAAGGATTTCAGGAATTTTGAAGGATTTTTCAATATTATTGCATTAAAAATAGAAAAAGAAAATAAAATAAAAAGATAATGCCTCCTAGATGGTTGAGATTTAAGCTTAGACTGTTGGCCATAGTAATTCATCAAAATGAGCCACTAGAAAAGTGACCAATTTATTTTGAAAGCCAAACATATAATTTATTCTCTCTCTCTCTCTCTCTCTCTCTCTCTCTCTCTCCTGTTTTCCCCCTGTAATTTACAAGTCTTGAAGATAGCTAATGCTTATGTTACTGACTTGACAGCTATTCATGATGCAGAATTGACATCGGAGAATCAGGGAATGTCAGAGATGGTTATAAACAGAGCATTTTTGGCAACAGAAGAGGAATTCCTTTCTGTTGTAAAGAAGCAGTGGCAGAGTAAGCCACAAATAGCCTCCGCGGGGTCGTGTTGTTTGGTGGGTATAATTTGTAGTGGAACTCTATACATTGCAAATGCAGGAGATTCTCGCGTGGTGTTAGGAAGACTTGAAAAGGCATTCAAAGAGATCAAAGCTGTTCAATTATCATCTGAGCACAATGCAAATTCGGAATCTGTGAGAGAAGAGTTGCACTCATTGCATCCGGATGACCCACAGATTGTAGTCTTGAAGCACAAGGTTTGGCGTGTAAAGGGAATTATACAGGTGATTTCTTATGCATTATTTTAGTCATGATTTTTCTTTTTTCCTTTTTTTTTTTGGCGATCATTATGCCAAAGGATATACTTGTAGTACTATTTCTTACTGTATTTTCTCATCTCTAGACGCAGGTGAGTGAGTTTCATGTGCATTTTTTTAATGTGGGTTTTGCCTTGTGTCTAAGAGTGAGAAAATCGGGTAAGAAATGAGATTATGTATAGTGTTGCTCTATGCCAAATACTCTCCATATTTGCAGGAATATTTTTGCTCAAATGTGAATCTTTCATTACGGATATGAGACATGAATTTATAGTATATTATTTTTAATTTACAAATTATTCATGAATACTAATAGCTTCCAAATGCCCCTTTACATTGAGTTTTCTATCTGATGCCATATTCAATCATTTGAGCATTCACTTTTCCGGGCATAAAAATATTTTTGTTTCATATATATATTTGAAAGTTTGGACAAATAACAATTTTTCTTTCTTTCATGCATTTAGACAAATCAATTTAAATTTTTTCATCAATGTCTTGATTAATGAACAGTTTTCATATTATGACATATTCTGAATTATATTTCACCTTCACCACATTCAATTGGGGAAATATATTCTGTGGGGTTCCATGAGCGCAACTACTGCAGGAAACTCAAACTTGGATTATATTATATACATTCAACTTCTAAAATTTGAGCATCAAGTGTAACAGTAAGATCAGATGATCCATCCTTTCACGCCCCTTCATCATAAGGCATAGTCTGACTATTAGAAAAACCATTCCGGTGTTTAAGTTAATGCAGCCCTCTTCCATGCTTTTTCAGACTGAATTATTCAAAAATTTCATCATACACATAACACATATAACCAGACTATGTAAGCTTGATGGGAGAGTTGAGTTTGATTAAGTTCTTTCAAAAAATATGGAGAATTTTGGGAGAGTTGAGTTTGATTAAGTTCTTTAAAAAATACAGAGAATTTTGTGAAGAAATAGCCAGTTTTTTAGTCTGCTAACAGAGGTGTCACATTTTTGCAGGTTTCAAGATCCATTGGTGATGCCTATTTGAAGAAGTCCGAGTTCAACAGAGAACCTCTACTGCCAAAGTTTAGACTGCCCGAACCCTTTGATAAGCCAATCCTAAAAGCTGAACCATCGATACTAGTACAGAAGCTCCACCCCGAAGATCAATTTCTTATATTTGCATCGGATGGATTGTGGGAACATCTTAGCAATCAAGAGGCAGTTGACATTGTCCACCAGTGCCCACGTAATGTACGATTTCAATTTATATTTTTCAGTTTCTTTTATATATATGTTGGCCATTATTGTGATGCCTGTGCTTCTAATTAACAAGAATTAATGACTTTCAATGCTATCAGCAACTCTTTCTTATGTCCCATTTCTATTTTCGCCTTTTGCGTAATAAGCTACAGATGATTGTGTGGTTATTGGTGTACTTAGCCTCAAATGTAACTCCCAAACTGTTTTTTAGATAATCTGAAAAGCAAGTGGTTTGTAAAAATTACCTCAATAGTGCCTGATGTAAAGGTTTATTATAGTTTCATAGTATTGTAAGGCTGGTTTGGTGCAGCTTATCGGAGCCGTTTATAGCTTTTTTATTTTGGGAATTTGTGCCAGAACGTTTAATGCAGCTTTTGCTTATAGCTCATAAAATAGCTTAATGAAAGATTTTGATTATCTGGAAGTTGGGAAAAGGGTGCATTAGCTTATGCTTTTTGATTATTGACTCAGCTTGAGAAAAGCTACACCATACAGGCCCGAAGTTCTGAATTTAATCCTTGAAGTTGCTTGAATATACACTAATATTTCCATATGGGTGCAGGGTATTGCAAGGAGACTCGTCAAAGCAGCACTAAGGGAAGCAGCAAAGAAAAGGGAAATGAGGTACTCAGACCTGAAAAAGATTGGGCAAGGGGTGAGAAGACATTTTCATGATGATATCACCGTCATAGTTTTGTTTCTAGACTGCCATCTGATTAGTCGCAGTTCATTCCGGGAGCCTTCGTTTTCAATCAGAGGAAGTGGGGGCGTCTCTGCTGAAGCCAATACTTAGTTTAAGAGGTTTTTACCCTATGTTCCTAAATTCTTTTGGTCATTTTCATTTTATATTTAACAAAATTATATATATACATTTATGTATAGCCGATGCTTATTGGATAGGAGTTTTCCCATAACACCATTTTGATCCCATGATAGATGGTAGAGTTGATGATTGAGTCGGGATACTATACCATGATCGGCACATGAAACTGGAAAAATGCTACCATTGAGAACAAAAATGCATTTTTTACACAGTTGCACTATTGAGAGTATTATTGTAATTGAACATGAGTCTTTTAAGATTTTGAGGATATATTGTTTCGTATACTAGACATAATTATCAAATAATTGAGTTTTTTTTGTTGTGAACTCAACTTCATGATTTGCTATTTGGGTCACTGTTAACTATATGAATTTCCCATACATCTGAATGTGTATGCTGTTTGATCTATATGGACTTTCCTTGCCTTCAGGTTTGATGTGCTGCAGCATGAACTACACATCAAATACTTTAAACCCCCAATGGCATCATGCATATCAGTTCTCTAAGGCCCTATGTGGCGCAGTTTCTTTTAAGCTAAAAAAAGCTGATAATCATAAAGTAGAAGCTAAAAACATTTCTCTCTGAACTTCCTAATAATCTTAATTTTTTTCACTTTATTCAAGTTATTTTTGTTTCATAAGTTATAATTGTTAGAAAAAGTTGTACCAATTTTCAAAATAAAAAATAAAAAAAAAGGCCTAAAGAAGCCCCCATAAACTGCACCAAACTGGGCTTTAGTTTTGCGCGTTTAGCATATCTTTCTTTTTTTTTTAATTTTCTTTTTTTTGGTTGGTTGGTTCAGGATGGGAGAAGGGAATTAGTAGGACTAATGGAAGAATGAGATCCAATTTCAATCAATCAGAACAAGTGAATTATTACAGATGCCTATTCTAGTGTGAAGAATGAAAGTGGAACACTTGAACATCAGTGGAATATTTCACTTTCAGCCTCCACAACTTGTTTTCAGCTTGTGGATAAAGCAGCTTGTGCCTGTATTTTGTACTATCATTTACAATTTCTGAAATTCTTTGAAATAGGACATTTCTTTCTTTTCCTTGTTTTTTTAATTCATATTTGGTATATTGGAGGGAAGGGGGAGTCCGACTTGTGACCCAACCTATTTTTTAAGAGTCACCAGTGGAAAAATGGTGATGGGGTTGCAGTGGAGAAGGGAGGAAGGGCCACCGAACGGAGGGGAGGGGCTAGAAACACAGAAGGAAATGAAAGGTAGGGGGTGTCAGGTAGCAAAGAGCAGGGGTTGGGGCATCGAACATGAGAGATGATGTGGGAAGGGTGGTAGGAAGGAGAAGGAGTTGGTTGTGGGAAAGAGAAAGGGGTTTAGAAGTAGCAAGGACAAATGGTGAACGTTGGCACCGGGGACGAGCTTGGAAGGCCAACGGCAATCGTGGTAAGCTGGTAAAGGTGGTTGGCACCGGCGACGAGCTTGGAAGGCCAATGGCAATGGTGGTAAGCCGGTAAAGGTGGTGGAGATGGGAACTGTGTGTTGAGAAATTAGGATTTGAATAGTTAGTGTTTTGGTTTTGGTGGTACTCTAGACATGGGTAAAATTTTAATTAAAAAAGTGTAAAAAGAGAGGTGTAAAGAAAGAATTTTGTTGTCTAAATAGAAGCTGCCTAATTAATTGGTGTTGTAAGCCCCATACAACATCGAACCAAGTATCATTTATCTTTATAAGATTAAGAGTTGACCTAATTAGGAATTATTATAATTAAGACAATGAGTGTGAAAATATTCACAATTAAGTCCATTACATTTAAAATTTACTAGCCTATCACCCGTGCTATACACGGGATAATTATACATATTTATATTTGTTTTAAATTTTTTTTAATATATGAATTATGTTTTTTAAGATTTTTTATAAAAATAATTTAACAATCATATCACTAACCATAGTATATAAGAGAAATTAAAAATGTTACTGCAGTAACTATGCACGGCCTATATCTATAATTATTTGTATGGGGGATTTTAAATGTTGATCAGAGATTTTGACCAAATCAATAAATGCAGGCATGTGAAAAGACATGTGGATTAAAAAAAGTTAATAAATGCTGATCAGAGATTTTGACCAAATCAATGAATGCTGAGTTTTTTTTTTAAATAAAAAATTTAGAAAATTCAGATTGGGATATTGAAGCTCCCACAAGTCTTGAGGGTTAAAAACCCCCATTTTGCTTAATATATAGTATAGATTCCCAAGCAAAATATTGGAAACTTAATTATAAAAGGTAAACACTAATAAATTACCCATACACATTAGTTAATATTAAAAATGTAATAAAAGTGTGATGGTAAAATCATTTTCTATTGTTAACACATTACCAAACTTGAATAAAGTTTCATTGTATAGTGATCATAAAAGCTTATGGAATTCTTGTTAAATAAAGTAGTTAGAGTTAAAAATATTGGAATTATGTACTTTCTTATCAAGTTTGGGTAATATTGAAATTAATTGTTATTGAACAGGGTTAGTACTTTAAGAAGGTTGTGAAAGTTCCAAAGGTGGAAGATGAGGAGAGGCTTCAGATGGGCATTGCTGCCGTAGGAGGGATGACAGTGTTGGAGATGGAGCAGCGCTAGCAACAAGGCAATGCAAAAAGACATTTTTAGCCATTTTTTGGATCATTTTGTAATTAATTTTCCAATATATATATAGTTTGAAATAAATTTTTACATTTAATGAATGAATAGTTTCTCAGTAATTTCCTTAATTATAATAATCCCATCTAATTATTGAGGTCCTTACTATCAAAGGAAAAATAAAATGGTAAGTTTACATTGTAAATATCTTTTAGCCAAGTAAGATCTATCATATTTAAATAAGAATAAGAATAATAATAATAAATTGATGGGTCTCATTTTTATTTAGAATGATAACTCCGATGTGACAGTTGTTTAGATAAAATTCACTCCAATCTTTTCCAAAAAAAATATATAATTCTCCATTTTTTTTAATGACATTGACCCTCGGTAAAATCGGGTAATAGAGCCCTTTAAACTTATTTTTAGTTAGGAAAAAAATTGAGACATGTAAAATTTCATTTCTAAATTTATTTTACAAAGATAGATTATTACATGTCAATTATTGATTGTTAAAAACCACCTACTCTCCACCTACTTCACCCACTTAAACCTACTCCACTAAACCTAACCCACTACACCACTACCACCTCATCTACTCCACTAAACCTAACCCACTACACCACTACCACCTCCACTTCACCTACTCCTTACCTACTACACACTCACCCTCTTCTATATATAGGAATCATGAATCATTGTAATAGAAATCAATAAACATCAATCAATAATACATAAATTTTTACATTGATTTATGTAAATCAAACCACTATGATACAAACCCTAATACCTATTATGTTATTATAGGTGAATTTAAAAATAATATTTTACAAAATTTCTATTAAGACTATTTTAGTTAAATCTAAATATTTAAAATTATTTTCAAATCGCAAATATTAATTTTGAATTGTTTGGAATGACCTAAATAAGTATACTTTTTGTCTTTTTACGGAAAGATATGCAGAAAAGTAGAGAGGTAATGTGATGAAAAAAAAAAATAAAAAGATGAAGGTATGTCCAACTTGGCCAATCACATTCAAAAATAAAATAAAATAACTCACACTATGGTGAGATGAATGAATATAATACTTCTAAATCTAGCACTTCTCTTCTTTCTGTTTTTGGGTCAAAGTTAATTTGTGTAATGGTTATGTAACAGGCTGACACTATGGTTTACCCCTTTTTTTTTTCTTTTTTTTTTTCTCTCTCTCTCTCTCTCAAATGTGTAGATCTCACGAAGAGACAATATAATAGCCTATCCATTATCATAGCGTACCTTTTACATAAACAGTAATGCTCCGGAGTTCTAATTAGAGCTGCAAAAGGGTAGCTCTAATGAGCTGTCAACCAATAAAAAAAAAAAAAAAAAAAACAGTGAAGTAAAAGACAAAAAAGAGGGAAGAAAAAGACAAATTAGTGCTCTATTAGAGCTCTTCTTTTAGAGGTCTAAATCATTTTTGTTTACATAAAATGCTTGTTTGGTGCCTTTTTTATGAAAAATGCCTAACACCCCCAGTGGGGGTCACTGGGGGTCGCCCCTGATAGGCTGAAAATTTTTTTTTTTTTTTTTTTTTTGAAGTCCACCCAATGGCAGTGTGCCACCTGCCACTGGGGGTCACTGGGGGTGCCCCCAGCTGGGGGTCTGTAGCATAGCCCCTTTTTTATAAGTTGAAAATTGATAGTAAGAAAAATAGAAGATAAAAATAATATTTGTAACCTAAATTTTTTATAGAGTTTTCAAAGTATTTATTTTATTTTTATTTCACAAGTGGTAAATAGAAACTATACTAACATAAATTTTATATATATATAAAAGAAGATAATTACCCTGGCCTCTCTAATGTTTAAGAAAATACTATTTTTTTTTTTTTATCAGTAGAAATTTCCATTAAAGTAAGTCAAATGGCATTTACAAAAGAGTCTATCCAACAAATAAAACTTACATCAAACAAAGTAGAAAGCAGTGCTAGAAGCACAAAGGAAAAAAATATGAAAATATTCAGATGCACAGTTCGTACTTATGCTCGTACTGCGAAATAGAAACCGATCATAAGAGTTTGACAATAGAGCAAGCATGTCTGAGACAAATCATAGGTTACAACCGCACAGGAAAAAAAATAAGACAAAATAGGAAGGGAAAAAAAAAAAAAAAAACTCAACCTCGGTCCTAAAACAACTAAATCCATGTAAGCGGGCCAAATTTGGTGGCAGTATGGTGGTGTCAGCTTTGGCGTGAGGCAGAGGAGGAGGAACATAGTAGATCCAACATCAACGGAAAGGGGAGAGGAGAAAACCAACAAAACTTCCACCATGAAAGGAAAAACACCTCATAGGGAATAAGATATTGGGAAGACACAGCTCTCAAGGCTTATTGAACCACAAAAGGTAGAAAAAACGAAAGAAAAATGGGAAAGATGAGGGAAAAGAGAGGTGGTCAAAGGCCAAAGCCCCCTCCCTCCTTCCTATTTAAGAAATACTTCAAATCCTATAATTTTTACATAAATATGCCACTTTTACCAACTCCATTGATTTGGTTTAGTATAGTAAGATATAAAGTAATTCCATTATGATTGCAAATGAATAGAGCCACTCATGTACAATCTCGAATTCAGTTGGATAAAGACTTGTTCGAACTTGATTCGTTAAATTTTTTTTACATCCGAACTCGAGTTCATTAAAATCTTAATAAATGAACCCAATATCCTAAAACTACACTCATTAGCTGGACTCGTTTAATATTTATTATTTATATATTAAAGAATATAAAAATATGTATAAAAAATAATATAAATGTATTATTTATATAATTTAAAAAGGTAAATGTAAATAATAGCTAACTATCGTGGTGGTAGATATTATTATTTTCTTAAAATATTGACTTTTCTTTTTGTATGTTATATATATTGGGACACTTTCGGAAGAGACTAAAACAGTCGATTTTTTGGTTTTTAAATTTTTTTAGCCAAAAAAGGCACCAAAAAAGCTAAAAAGTCAATTTTTTACCAATTTTTCAAAACACCACATTGTATATATAATTGTATAATCAAAGTTTCAATTGTAAATTTAGTCTCATGCGCAAGTATGAATTTATAATTTTTTTAACTTGTTAAGAATTGTAAACATGCTCAAGCTCGAATCAAGCCTAAGCCAATTTGGTTCAAACTTAGTTTGTTAAATTTTTATTGAACTCGAGCTCAAACTCGAACTCATTAAAATCTTAATAAAACAAATCTAAGCATACTAAAACTCGGTTCAATTTAGCTTGTTTGTAGCCTTGATTATGATAGAGAAAGGCAAAATATAATCTTATAATATCTATTGACTTTGCCATTATTATAGGGCAAATTATTATAATTATGTTAAAAGTGTAGGACTTGATGTACTTTTTAATAAATCTTAAAAGTTAGTGCAATTTATCAAAAATAAAAATAATAATAAATAGTTGTTATAAATAAAATAAAAAAAATGTACCAAATGCCGAAATATCATTATTATTAAGGTAAATTACATGGACTCCCTTGAAATTTAGAAAAAATATAGTAAGCCTTATAATTTTAACAAAATTATATTGAACTCTCTTATATTTTTAATTCATATAATACATAATTCTATTTTCATAAATATTTTGTTAGTTATATGGATAGAAAAATGAAATTATCATCTTTTTTACATTAATATACATTTATTTATTCTTGTGTCTTTTAATTTTAGTTCGTTTAATCTTATTAAAAAAAATATCAATGTAATTATAAAATTTTAAGAGAGGTCAGTACAAATTTTCATATTATTATTAGGACACTCAGATCATAAGTTTAAATTAAAAATTCCAAAATAGATTTGTCCATAAGGACAACAATCTGAAAAACTATTTTTCTTATACTTATCTGTTTATTTGTCCACCAATCTATCCACGTATCCACCTACATATCAATCGCTGCCACCGTCAACTTTTCGTGCGTTAGTCATTTTTTGACTGGTCGCCAATGGCAATCGATAGTGACGTATGAGAATAAAGTGAGAAAGTAGAAATAAAAAACGTACAATGGTATATAAAAAAATGATAAATTACACTGACCTCTTTAAGATTTAGATAAATTACAGTAAGTTTTATAATTTTGACATAATTAGATTAAGTTTTCTTGAAATTTTAATTCATATAACACTTAGTTTCATTTTTATTAATAATTTATTAGTTATATAAATAAAAAAATATATATATATTTTTTTTTGGTACATGAAAATCCTTAGATCCTCCTGCAAATCCAAGGCAGCGCTCGAGTCGAGATCACCAAAATGTCATGTTGTTCGTTCCGAATTAGAGATTATAACTTGGGAGCTTGCACTGATTACTCAACACAAACTCCGTTTAAATCAGAACTGAAAAAATAATGTTAACATTTCTTTTACATGAAAAATTACACTTTGCCTCTGTTTGGCAAGTTGGTTCTTGGGCTTTTTTGGCTATTTTAGTCACAAAAGACAAAATAGGCTATTTTAGCCATAACAAACAAAACATCACATCCAACCCATAATCATTACATTCTTCTCTCACAAAAAAACTCAAAAAAGCCAAAAAGCCAAAAAGCCCTTCCCAAACCAAGCTTTTAAGCCCAGGCTAAAATAGCCAAAAAAGCCAAAAAGCCAAAAAGCCAACCCACTTCCCAAACGGAGGCTTTAAGTTGTTTATTTTTATATTTTCATACCATCTAGATTAGTTTTAGTTCATTTAACTTTACTAAAAGAAAAGTTAGTGTAATTATTTTTATTTTCCTAAATCTCAAGTGAGGTCAGTGTAATTGACCCCAAATACAATTTAAACACTTGTGTTTTTAAGTAAGAATTTTAATAAAAATGCTTATTTTGTCAATTAGATTAAAAACCATCTTTTTAACTTTTTTAAATTTTTTCGAATTACAACACTTTTTTATTTTTTTACACTTTTTTTATAAAAAATTAAAAAATTAACTTATAACGTACTTTTCAAAATTAACCAAAATGTTAGAAGGCACTAAAATTTTATCAAAATTTCCACTAGCATCACCCAATTTTAATAGGGGCAGCGTGGCTCAATATTCTACAAAGAAATTGCGCAAAAGAAATGTCGATTAATGTGGAGAAGGCGAAGCCTGTGTTTAATCAGGAAACTCTAATATACATTCTCATGTGTATTTTTAATTATAATTATTTTTGTAATTATCATTCATAATTTTTTTAATTATTTTTCATATTTAATTATTATATTTTTTTAATTATAAATTAAAAAATTAAAATTATATTATTTTTTCTTTTAATTATAAGGCCCGTTTCCATGTAACGAGTGTCTGTCAATCTCTCTCTCTCTCTATCTATCACTCACTGAATCAAACGATTTTTCAACTGATAGTCTTGTGTCTTACTGTTCCACTGTTTCTTCTTCGTCACCCCTGACGTCTTCTCCTGATTTTTTCTCTCTCCTCTCCTCCCTCTCTCCTTTTTTATTTTTTATATTTTTTTATTTTTAATGAATATTTTTAAAATTTTAAGTATTTTTTTTTATTTTTTTAGATGTATTTTATTTAGATGAATCAAAAAAATAAAAAATTTGTGAAAAGATATTTTAAAAAATTAACAAATACAAAAAACATACTAAATTTTTGTATTTTTTTTATATTCTTTGGTATTTATTTAATTTTTTTAAAAGATTTTTTTACAAAAATTATACTTTTTATGTGTATTTATGTTAAGTGTGTCTAAAAATTAAAAAAAAAATTGTTTAAAATATTAAAAAAATTCAATAAAAATAAAAAAATTTGAAAAACAAGAAAGTAGAATTTTCTGAAAACTGTTTTCAGAAAAACGAAACCAAGCAAGCTGATTTATTTTTAATTTAAAGACTATTTTAAAAAGAGGATTATAATCAATTTTTTAGTTAAAAATTGATTATAATTAACTTTTTGTGAAAGAGAAAAGTAGGTTATAATCTGGAAAATAAATTATAACCCATTTCTCAAAAGACTCCTTAATTTTAGTGATCTGAATTATTTATATTTTAAAATTTATTAAATATATTATATTTATAAAAAAATTAAATTGATCAAATATCAAAAGTTATCAAATTAAAAATTATTTTTTTTTAAATTTAACAAATAATTTTTTAAAAACATACTTTCTAATATCCGAATAATTTAATCTTTTTTTAATATCCAATTAATTTAATCTTTTACAAATACGATATACTCTATATACCCACCATCATCTCCATTGTTCTCATCAGTTCTCTCTGTCCACCTTCACTCCTCTAATCGCTCACACGCATCAACCACCCTTCTCTCTAACGCTCCCTCCAGAACCACACTCTCTGCTCTCAAAATGGCCACTGGGTAGGTTTACTCCTTTATCATAATTCCCTTTTGGTTCCTCAGAAACTTGGGGAAAATATAAATAACCATTTTTTTTTTTTAAAACAATCTTATTTTATTCTAATTTTTCCAATTGGATTTATTTTTTTAATCAATTGTCTTATTTTACTCCAAATTTCTCGGAAACCAAACAGAATCTTGATATATCTGTGCATTTTTCGCTCCAAAATTTGTTTGTGCCTGTCTCTCGCAGAAGTGTGCAAGAAGTTCTTCCACCTGCTCTTGATTCTACTTCAGACCCACCTGCAATCTTCGATGGGACGACAAGGTATAAGGTTCAGAATTAACGCACTTTCTTTTGGGTTATTTTTTTTTTTTTTTTTTTTTTTAGCATTTCCCAGTTGCATCTATGTGTTTGTTTCAATATACCCAGTTGAAATTTTTGCAATTTTTTTGGACTTGTTCATATAAAATTGATTTTGGGAATTTTTGAATTTCTTGATTTTCAGGCTGTACATTTCCTACATATGCCCATATGCCCAACGTGCGTGGATTACCCGAAACTGTAAGGTTGTTTTCCAAACTGTTCTTGCTCTGGCTTCTGCTTAATTTGCTCTCTCTCTCTCTCTCTCTCTCTCTCACTCACACACACACACACACACACAGAGGTTAAGATTGTATATCATTTGAATAAAGTGTATTTGTTTTGAACACATGTTTTCATTTATTTGTTTTCTTTATTTTGGAAAACAGGGATTGCAGGAGAAGATAAAATTGGTTCCTATTGATCTGCAAAACAGGCCAACTTGGTACAAGGAGAAAGTTTACCCGCAGAACAAGGTGAAATTATTCTAATGCAGTCTGTGCTTTATGGGTATTTCGATGAATGATGTATATGAAATTGTTCCAAATGGTTTTATATGATGCAAAATGAAATTCTCTGAAATGTCAAGTAGAAGAGTCAAAGTGAATTACAATAGAATGACTTCATTGCTTGAATATTACAGATTTACAAAAACTTGATGGCTTAATTTTAAGTGAAACTCGTGAGAATTTAGAAATCTTACAACTCGGTTATGAGCCAAACAATGGATAGTTCTGATAAGAAGATGAAATTGAGATGAGACAAATAGGTAGCTAATAGTTGTGTCCTATGAAGCTCGGATACTTCAAAAAGGGTGACGTATCCGTATCGGATACTTATCGGATACCGATACTCCTCAGATACTCGCGGATACGTATCGGATACTTCTTAAAAGTATCGGATACTTCTTAATTAATTTTTTATTAATTTTGAAGTATCGGATACTTAATTTTGAAGTATCGGATACTCGAAATTACATATTACTTATAATATTTTGTTTAGTTCTTTGATAAGAGGAATATAGTGAGAGTTAAAGTAATAAAATTTGTTAAATTGATGTATCCTTGTTGTCTCTCTCACTTCTCTCTCACTTTTTCACTCTCTCACGTTTCTTCTCTCTGCTCCTTTGCCCTGATCACCGTTGGCATGTAAGGATGATGTTTAATTTGCATTTGCTTTTGCTTTTGCTTTTAGTTTTGGATGTTTTATGAATGTTTGAGCACTTTTAGGTTAATAGGAATCCCTCTCTTTATTTATTAATTTACTTTAAGTTTTATTTTCATGCATATTACATTATTAAAATCAAAAAAAAAAAAAAAAAAATTATGAATGTATCCGCGCTGTACCCGTATCATACTTTTTCAAATTTTGACATATTGCCATATCCACATTCCCATATCACCATATTCGTATCCCTGCTTCCTAGGCTATCATTGATGACTTAAAAAAGTATATTTGCTGAAATTTTTATTTAAGAATGGTTTTTTGGCTTTGATTTTAGCTAAGGTCTTGTGATATTCACTGATGAAGAGGAACAAGTTGAAGCTATTGACCTTGAAGACTCTTAGTTTTGTAGGAATCTTTCTTCTTTATCAAGTTGTCTTTTGCTTTAAGTTTTATTTTTATGCATATTGCATTACTAAAAATTGTTAAAATAATATTTTTTACACGAACGTATCCCCGCCGTACCCGTATCCTAGTTTTTCAAATTTTGTCGTATCGCCGTATCGTATCGTATCGGTATCCGTATCCCGTATCCGTATTCGTGCTTCCTAGGTTGTGTCAGTATATAATACACACTAGCTGCGGGTGCACACACAATGCGGCGTGCAAGGATCTATAGTTTATGATGAGTGCAAGGATCTATAGTTTATGATGAGTGCAAAGCTTTGTAGTTTATAATGGATAGAAACCGTCCATGTTTGTAAAGTTTTAAATATCGAAACCCATTTGAATTTTCACATGACCATTCTCAAACTTACCAATTGTTGGGGGCATTTTTGGAAAATCAAAATAGCGTGACAAAAATTTCATGTTCACACCAAATAACATGTACACTTTATATAATGGTATAGATATATCACTTCCAGACAATGTACCATTTTCTGTTCATGAATTTATAAATTAGTTATTTTGTGCAGGTGCCATCTTTGGAACACAATAATGAAGTCAAGGGAGAGAGTCTTGATTTAGTTAAATATATTGACAGTAACTTTCAAGGCCCTTCCCTCTTCCCCAATGTAATGTTTTGAAATTCAATTTTTTTAACTCTTTTTCCATCCAGTGAAATCGAGCTCATACTCTGGGAATGCAGGATCCTGCCAAGAGACAATTTGGAGACGAGTTACTGTCGTACACAGACTCATTCAATAAAGGAGTGATTACTTCATTCAAGGCAGATGGAATGAATGATGCTGGTAAGTTGAACACATACTGATTTCAAGTTAGTTAAATATTGAAAATAACCATAGCTAAACAATAGTTGTATTCTGCAACAGATGCTTCATTTGATTACATTGAAACCGCGCTCTCCAAATTTGATGATGGACCCTTTTTACTCGGCCAGTTTAGTATTGTAAGTGGAAACCTTATATTTGGTTTGTCGCATTTTTTTTCCTCTCTCAACCACTTGTCTTTTCTTGGAGTTTTATCAAATACTGGTCTCAAGTCCTGTTGTCATCAAGTTTTTAGAGGTAGATCTGCAAAATATGATATGTTGGGCTTTTACTTATGAAATGTATGATGAGGTACAACTTCATGGTTTGTTCTTTGAGATACTGTGATGCTTCTAATCGACAAAGGATAATATATGACCTTTCAGGTGGATATAGCATATGCTCCTTTTATTGAAAGATTTCAACCTTTCTTGTTGGATGTAAAGAATTATGATATCACAGCAGGCAGGCCAAAACTGGCAGCATGGATTGAGGTACAACTAAAATTTTTCCTTCTCCTTTGGCCTTATCTGTATCTAGAATTCCATTCAATTCAGAATAGATCTATCTCAAGTAACTATGTGGCTCTAGCTGATTAGAGAATAATGATGAATGACTAATCTAGTAACATTTATATGATAAAGTTCATGTAATGGTTGAACTGTATAACAATTCATCTGTAATTTGATTCCACATTTTGGGAGAGACTAAAGATCAACCCAATGTTAGATAAAATGTTTGTCGTGTAAATGGGGATTACGATGTAATCTAAGAAGTAGAGACACTTCTAAGAAAGTGGTCTGACACAACACGACACTCATTGGGCACTTCTTCACACCTTTCGAATACATGTTCAAACATGTCTAAAATTTTCTAGAATCAAACACGAGACACTTGGCGAACAAGTACCTATCATTTAGACATACATGAAACATATTACTAGTTTAAGTAAAATAACTTGAAATCCAATAACAAAAAGAAAAATAATATAAATTTATATCTATTCTCCTCCCTTAGACTTTTGAAATTAGTGTAACATTGCATTTTGTTTTTTATCTTTGAATTAAATATTCAATATATATATATACATGACATATAATAAATATATAAAATTATATATTTTGGGCATGTCCCTCAGCTATTGCATCTTACATTTTTTAAATTTTCCATGTCGACGTGTTCTTGTCATGTCATGTGTTTGTGTCCTTACTTCTAAGGATGTAACAGCATGGATCAGAATGTATGGGTTTGAGATGACGTGGAACATGTTTACAAGTTTAAAAGATCTCGACACCAATAGTAGTATCTCAAATTGAATTTGATTCAATATATATATATACATGACATATAATAAATATATAAAATTATATATTTTGGGCATGTCCCTCAGCTATTGCATCTTACATTTTTTAAATTTTCCATGTCGACGTGTTCTTGTCATGTCATGTGTTTGTGTCCTTACTTCTAAGGATGTAACAGCATGGATTAGAATGTATGGGTTTGAGATGACGTGGAACATGTTTACAAGTTTAAAAAATCTCGACACCAATAGTAGTGTCTCAAATTGAATTTGATATGCTTATACATATTGATAGCCATCCTCCAATCAATTTACTACCGGGTACATTTCTTCAAGGGGGGCAAGCCAATGACATGTTGTTGACCTCTCTTGAATCTTACCAAATGCACACCTGGGTACACACAAAAATACTAAAATAAATGCTTCATTGAGAACACTTGGTAGTTCTGGTTTTCCTGTGATTAAAGTATTTTGCTTTATGGATTTGTTTATTTGGCATATCAAGAGCACTTAACTTTATAGTATTTGTGATATACTGGAATTTCATTTGCAGGAGCTGAACAAAAATGAGGCTTACAAACAAACCAAAGGGGATCCAAAAGACCACGTTGAAAACTACAAGAAACGTTTCTTGGTATTCCCTCCCTGCTTGCAACACCTGACCTGAAATTTTCATATTTGGTATCATTTTAATTTTCAATGTGTTCACTTTTTGTATTTCCAAAAGAAAAAAAATAAGTACGAAAACATTCATCATTATTTTTGTGCAAAAAAAACACACAACAAATTCAAAAGACAAGTTTAAACGTTCCCTAAAAGTGAGTATTTTCAGGGGAAAAAAAAAAATGCCAAACATGTTTTCTTTTTCTCTTTGTGAATATAAAAAATGGAAATGATATCAAACACGCATTTGTTCTAACTATAACTTTATAATGATGAGCACACGCAGCTGACTTTTTCACCCAATTCATTTTCTTGTGCAGGCTCAGCTCTGAACTCTTTCAGTTCAGTCGCAAAGTATATAATTCAAGAACTGGCTGTGTTATGTGAAGTGAGGTAGTGATGGTTCTGCAGACTACTAGTTTGATGTATTGGTCAGATCTTGCCATAGAAGTTAGAATGATGAGCATAATCTAATATCAATAAAGCAAACTTATGTTATATGATGAGAGTATATCATAATATCAATAAGCAAACTCATGTTATATGGTGAGAATATTATAATGTCAATAAGCATACTTGTTCTCAAATTGGGTGATTGTTAATTACAAATGCGCAGACTCTTGCTTTATTCCTTTGGGTGTTGATAAGAGAGTGACAAAAGGCGACAGCTTGACATTATATATCATATTTAAGTTAGGATCTTAATTAGTGATAGTTATGAGCTAACATGGTGTTTGGTTACGAGCTACTGTTTTGGTAAGGTCAGAAAATTATGAAATCAAAACCGGTTACAGTACGGTGTATTGTAGTGTGATTATGTTCTAAAGTCATCTTGGTCACAACTCAAATGTGTGTTGGCTCAAATGTGTGTTGGCTTTAGACAGTGGTGTTACAATTCAGTGTGGCTATGATCGATGACATATATATTTTAATTGGGGAAATTCTACTGTACACACCTCTTGAAAAGGGTGTATTATATGCACCTCTAGTTATATCATTTTGCTATCTTTAATTATGACAAATATTTTAGTTATGACTCATGAGATCTTTAGTTATGTCTCATGTGGTGTTTGGTTATGATTTTTTTTTTTTTTAGTTATAACTCAGAAAGTATGAAATTATGTTATATTTCTCTTTAGTTATAAGATGCATATGGTATACACTATTTGAGGGGTGTGTACCATAATGTTTCTCTTTTAGTTGAAATGGTTAGAAGTGAAGGGAGGTGAAGTATGCATATTTATACTCTCTCATTGATATCAATGTATGGTGGTGGTGTGTAACTGAAGTTAGTTTATTTTTATTTTTATTTTCTTTTTCGAGGAATGCTGAAGTTAGTTGATTAATTAGAGTTTTGTTCCATTAATTCTTTGATTTATGAAAAATGTGTGGGGGAAAAAAAAATACGATAGTGATTTAAAATTGTGTATATTTGATAGATGGTAGGTGGTTGTCTTTAACACCGTTCTTTTATGATTTTAATTCACATAATACTTACTTTTATTTTTTTATCAATAATACGTTAATCGTATGAAAAAAAGAAAAAAAAGAAAGAAAGAGAAACAACTGTTATATCTTTTACATTGAAATAAATATTTTATCATTAATTATTCATATCTTCATACACTAGCTACATTAAATCTATTTGCTTTTGCTTTACTGCGAGGGATGTTATTGTAATTATGTAAAACTTATGAAATTCATTTTATTTTTTTAGTAATTAATGTAATGTACTATTCTTAATATCAATTATCGAAATATGAAAATATGAAAATAGGGGAGGGTTATCCTTCACAAATTATCCTTAAGAATAAAATTATTAGAAAACAAATTATAATAATAAGTGCATCCCTCTCCCACCACCACCTCAGTCTTACTACTTCCCTGCCGTTTCACCGATCCACCCGCTTGCAGTCTTTCATTCCCTCTCTTTTCTCATTACGCCACCTCTAACTCCTCTTTTCCCATCCAACAAATATTATTGTTCTCCCTTACCATGTTACCACCATTCTTCTACAAAACCCTTGTCTTGAAAGAGAGTGAAGAAGATCACGAAAACCTAATTGAGGTGATTTCGATTGCAAATGAGAGAGAAGAGGAAGAGAGAATTGATAGTGGTAGGGGTTGAAGATGGAGGGAAGGAAGCATTTGGAATGTATGATGTGGAAGGAAAGGGGGGAGGGGTAGTGGCAACAATGGTCGAAGGTGGTGGCCCAATAACATGGAATTATAGAGATAGACTGAAATAGATAAGATTTGGTTGATCTTATTTGTTGTGTAGCGTCGGTTGAAAGGATTAGTTTGACCACTTTTTGCCTAATAATGCAAGTTGTTTCACCTGTCCTGAATAAAGTTGGAGTCGATCATAAGACAATTGCATGTGATAGTGGAGTCTACTATGCTTCCATCTTGTTTACGAGATTACGATATTTTTCATCAGTCTGTGATAGAGGGCATCAAGATCTTGGCTGTATCACTCATTCCGAAATTGTTCTACATCCTCTGCGGTCATGGCTAACTCCAACGGAAAATTCAAATTATTTCTCTTTTTGAGATTCAATAAAGAGCCTCATTAATTTGTGTAGAAGACCTTTGATATGTTATGGGAAAACGAATTACAAATAGTATTCTACCATTTGTGATCATAAATGAAAATTTTGCTGAGCCATGAATATTAAAAACTGTTTGTGAAATAGTTATTAGACTGTCTATCTAATGAAGATAATTTTGGTATAATAGTTCGTGTATTAAGAAAATTATAAAATTTTAAATTAGAAAAAATGGGTGTTCTTAGAATATGGGTGAACTTTAAAAGTTGTGAATACAAATGGCAGTGTACTTCATTTATTTTTCATTTTTAAAAAAGAGTATGTACCGAACGTATGTCCTCCATTTGTCAAAAACTTTAGATGTGATTATTTAGGGTGTGTTTGGTAACGTTTACGTTTTCAGTTTATATTTACAAAAATTTTATAAACTGATTTTTGTTTATTTTTTGTTTATTTTTAGAAAAACATAAATTACAAACGCGTTTGGTAATTGACAAATATTTAAAAAAAATTAAATATAAAAAAAAATGAGAAATGGCAGTGGTGCAAGTGGGGCGGAGACGGGTGGTAGAAGTGGTGGGGTGGGTGTGTGGGTGGTGGCGGGTGGGTGCCACCCCTGTGTGGGTGGGTGGTGGGTGAGGTGGCGGGTGGTGGGTAGTAGTGAGTGGGATGTGGTGGTGGCATGGGTGGTAGTATGATGGTAGGTAGGTAGGCGGATGGCGGGTGGTGGTCTGGTGGCGGGTGGTCGTGGTTAGTGGCGATGGCGGGTGGTGTGGTCGGTGGGTGGTGGGTTGGTTGGGTTGGTGGGTGGTAGCGAGTGGTGGTGGTGGCGGTGGGGTCTGGGTTGGGTGCGGTGGCGGTGGTGGGTGGTATGGAGTGGGATGTGGTGTGGCGGGTGGTGGGTGCGGTGGGGTGGTTCGGTGGCAGGTGATGGGGTAGTGAGTGGCGATGGGTGGTAGTGGCGGGTGGGTGGTGGGTGACGGTGGCGGGGTAATGGGTGGTAGCGGATGGTGGCTGGTGGTGGTGATGGTAGGGCGGGTGTGGGCCGTAGTTAACAAGTGTGGCGAATAGCGGGTGGTGGCCTGGGTGGTGGTTGGGTGGGTGGGTGCGGTCGAGGGTGGGTAGGTGGTTGAGAGTGGGGTGGTGGTGGTGGGGTGGTGGTGGTGGGTGGTGGGTGACGGTGGGGTGGTAAAGCGAGTGAGTGGTTGGTGTGCAGGTGGTGGCGGGTGGGTAGGTGGGTTTGACGGTGGCAGGTGGAAGTGGTAGCGAGTGGGTGGTGGTGTGATGGTGGTGACTGCGGTGGGTGGCATGGCTGGTGGTGGGTGGGTGGCTGGGGGTGGCAGGTGGTCAATTGGTGTGGAGCTGGTGTGGTGAGTGGTGGTGTCGGTGGCGGCAAGTAAGTGGGGGTGGTAGTTGGCAGGTGGTGGTTGGCGGGTAGATGAAGGTGGGTGTGTGGTGGTGGCGGCGAGGGGTGGGGGTGGAGGCGAGGTGGGTGGCAGTGGCTGGTGGCAGGTGGTGGCTGGCTGGTGAGCAGATGGTGGTGATGGTGTGGCAAGGTGTGGTGAGGGTGGGTGGTGGTGGCGGAAGATGGTGATGGAAAATGGTGGCGGGTGGTGGCTAATGTTGGGTGATAAAAAAAAAAACTGAAAACTCAAAATGGAAACACATTTTTTGTGTTTTCATTTTCTGGCCAAATTTATAAACTGAGACCACTGATTTATAAATCAAAAATTTTACCAAACAAATTTTTATTTAAATTTTTTAAATTTTTATAAATATAAACAAAAAATTAAAAACGTAAGTGTTACCAACGACACCTTAGTTAGTTTAGTCAGGCTGAGTAAAGCTGGCCAATGAATGGCTCAAAAAGCCACTTTTCACATATTAAAGTTAAGTTACAATTATTGTAGCAAAAAGGAGTTGATTATTCAACCAACTATTCCCATTTGGTTCAAATAAAATGAAATCCAAGAATAGAATCATATCTTGACGTCTGGTCTTTTAATTGGATAAAAAAATGGAAATCTGAAATAGCATTTCTCAAAATGGAGAAAATCTTCCAACTTACAGAGTGGGATAAAAAATAAATAAGGTTGAAATAATAACACGATATAACTCCCTTCTCCAGCTCATTCCATTCCTTGCTACATCCCATTCCCTTCACCCAAACCAAGCAGGGCAAACTAATTTTTTTTATGCAGAAATGGTCCAAACAGCCAACACCTGAACAGCAAAGGGGGACGTATCTGATCATATGATAGGGAGTACCCAATCTAGTTCCCGGCCAGATTAGCAAGATTTGGGTGTACCAAAAGAGGTTTAGCGGGAACACTCACAGATCAATAGATCCCAAGTCAGTAAGGGTTTGGTAAGGTTTTTTTTGGTTCACCTTGTCTTGTGTATACAAGCCCGACATTACTTCAACTCCACCACTCATGCAACAAAGTTATTTCAATTAGGTGTAAAATTGAATACAAACACAAACATAAAATGCTTGTTTGGTGCATTTTTTATAAGTTGAAAATTGATAGTAAGAAAAATAGAAAATAAAAATAATATTTGTAACCTAAATTTTTTATAGAGTTTTCAAAGTATTTATTTATTTATTTTTTTTTCACAACTGGTAAATAGAAACTATACTAACATAAATTATATATATATATATATATATATAAAAGAAGATAATTACACTGACCTCTCTAATGTTTAAGAAAATACTATTTTATTTTTAATCAGTAGAAATTTCCATTAAAGTAAGTCAAATGGCATTTACAAAAGAGTCTATCCAACAAATAAAACTTACATCAAACAAAGTAGAAATCAGTGCTACAAGCACAAAGGAAAAAAATATGAAAATATTCAGATGCACAGTTCATACTGCTGCGAAACAAAAACTAATCATAAGAGTTTGGCAATAGAGCAAGCATGTCTGAGACAAATCATAGGTTACAACCACACAGGAAAAAAAAATAAGACAAAATAGGAAGAAAAAAAAAAAAACTCAACCTCGGTCCTAAAACAACTAAATCCATGTAAGCGGGCCAAATTTGGTGGCAGTATGGTGGTGTCAGCTTTGGCGTGAGGCGGAGGAGGAGGAACATAGTAGATCCAACATCAATGGAAAGGGGAGAGGAGAAAACCAACAAAACTCCCACCATGAAAGGAAAAACACCTCATAGGGAATAAGATATTGGGAAAACACAGCTCTCAAGGCTTATTGAACCACAAAAGGCAGAAAAATGGGAAAGATGAGGGAAAAGAGAGGTGGTCAAAGGCCAAAGCCCCCCTCCCTCCTTCCCGTTTAAGAAATACTTCAAATCCTATAATTTTTACATAAATATGCCACTTTTACCAACTCCATTGATTTGGTTTAGTATAATAAGATATAAAGGTAATTCCATTATGATTAAGGTTGCAAATGAATAGAGCCACTCATGAACAAGTTCGAATTCAGTTCGATAAAGACTTGTTCGAGCTTGATTCGTTAAATTTTTTTTACATCCGAACTCGAATTCGTTAAAATCTTAATAAATAAACCCAATATACTAAAACTACACTCATTAGCTGGACTCGTTTAATATTTATTATTTATATATTAAATAATATAAAAATATGTATAAAACATAATATAAATGTATTATTTATATAATTTTAAAAGGTAAATGTAAATAATAGCTAACTATCGTGGTGGTAGATATTATTATTTTCTTAAAATATTGACTTTTCTTTTTGTATGTTATATATATTGGGGCACTTTAGGAAGAGGCTAAAAAAGTCAATTTTTGGATTTTTAATCTTTTTAGCCAAAAAAGTCAACTTTTTTAGCCAAAAAAGCCACTAAAAAAGTCAAAAAGTCAATTTTTTACCAATTTTTCAAAACACCACATTGTTTATATAATTGTATAATCAAAGTTTCAATTGTAAATTTAATCTCATACACAAGTATGAATTTATAATTTTTTTAACTTGTTAAGAATCGTAAACATGCTCAAGCTCGAATCAAACCTAAGTCAATTTGGTTCAGGCTTAGTTTGTTAAATTTTTATTGAACTCGAACTCAAACTCGAACTCATTAAAATCTTAATGAAACAAATCCAAACATACTAAAACTCAGTTCAGTTTAACTTGTTTGTAGCCTTGATTATGATAGGGAAAGGCAAAATATAATCTTATAATATCTATTGACTTTGCCATTATTATAGGGCAAATTATTATAATTATGTTAAAAGTGTAGGACTTGATGTACTTTTTAATAAATCTTAAAAGTTAGTGTAATTTATCAAAAATAAAAATAATAATAAATAGTTGTTATAAATAAAATTAAAAAATGTACCAAATGCCGAAATATCATTATTATTAAGGTAAATTACATGGACTCCCTTGAAATTTAGAGAAAATATAGTAAGTCCTATAATTTTAACAAAATTATTTTGAACTCTCTTATATTTTTAATTCATATAATACTTAATTCTATTTTTATAAATATTTTGTTAGTTATATGGATAGAAAAATGAAATTGTCATCTTTTTTACATTGATATACATTTATTTATTCTTGTGTCTTTTAATTTTGGTTCATTTAGTCTTACTAAAAGAAATATCAGTGTAATTATAAAATTTTAAGAGAGATCAGTACAAATTTTCATATTATTATTAGGACACTCAGATCATAAGTTTAAATTAAAAATTCCAAAATAGATGACCCAAACTCTATTCTTTTTTGTCCATAAGGACAACAATCTCAAAAACTATTTTTCTCATACTTATCTGTCTATTTGTCCACCAATCTATCCACGTATCCACCTATATATCAATCGCTGCCACCGTCAACTTTTCGTGCGTTAGTCATTTTTTGACTAGTCGCCAATGGCAATCGATAGTGGCGTATGAGAATAAAGTGAGAAAGTAGAAATAAAAAACGTACAATGGTATATAAAAAAATGATAAATTACACTGACCTCTTTTAAGATTTAGATAAATCACAGTAAGCTCTATAAGTTTGACATAATTAAATTAAGTTCTCTTGAAATTTTAATTCATATAACACTTAGTTCCATTTTCATTAATAATTTGTTAGTTATATAAATGAAAAAATAATAATTTTTTTTTTTGGTACATGAAAATCCTTAGATCCTCCTGCAAATCCAAGACAGCGTTCGAGTCGAGATCACCAAAATGTCATATTGTTCGTTCCGAATTAGAGATTATAACTTGAGAGCTTGCACTAATTACTCAACACAAACCCCGTTTGAGTCAGAATTGAAAAAATAATGTTGACATTTCTTTTACATGAAAAATTACACTTTAAGTTGTTTATTTTTATATTTTCATACCATCTAGATTAGTTTTAGTTCATTTAACTTTACTAAAAGAAAAGTTGGTGTAATTATTTTTATTTTCCTAATTCTCAAGTGAGGTCAGTGTAATTGACCCCCAAATACAATTTAGACACTTGTGTTTTTAAGTAAGGATTTTAATAAAAATGTTTATTTTGTCAATTAGATTAAAAACCATCTTTTTAACTTTTTAAAATTTTTTTGGATTACAACACCTTTTTATTTTTTGACACTTTTTTAAAAAAAATTAAAAAATTAACTTTTAACATACTTTTCAAAATTAACCAAAATGTTAGAATACTCTAAAATTTTATCAAAATTTCTACTAGCATCACCCAATTTTAATAGGGGCAGCGTGGCTCAATATTCTACAAAGAAATTGCGCAAAAGAATTGTCGATTAATGTGGAGAAGGCGAAGCCTGTGTTTAATCAGGAAACTCTAATATACATTCTCATGTGTATTTTTAATTACAATTATTTTTTTAATTATGATTCATAAATTTTTTAATTATTTTTCATATTTAATTATTATATTTTTATAATTATAAATTAAAAAATTAAAATTATATTATTTTTTCTTTTAATTATAAGGCCCGTTTCCATTTAACGAATGTCTGTCAATCTCTCTCTCTCTCTCTGTATCCATCACTCACTGAATCAAACGATTTTTCAACTGATAGTCTTGTGTCTTACTGTTCCACTGTTTCTTCTTCGTCACCCCTGACGTCTTCTCCTGATTTTTTCTCTCTCCTCTCCTCCCTCTCTCCTCCTCCACATATTCCCTCCCTGACTTCCCACCTGCTGTGCTGACCATTCGATTCAATGTGTTTGGTTTGAATTTTTTAGATTAATTTTTTAGGATGTGTCCGATTTTGATTTTTATATTTTTATATTTTTAGTGAATATTTTTAAAATTTTAAATATATATTTTTTTTTAGATGCACTTTACTTACATGAATCAAAAAAATAAAAAATTTGTGAAAGATATTTTAAAAAATTAATAAATATAAAAAAATACGAAAAATATATTAAATTTTGTATTTTTTAATAATTTTTGGTATTTAGTAAATTTTTAAAAAGTTTTTTTCACAATTTTTTTTACTTTTTAGGTATATGTATGATATATCTAAAAATTAAAAAAATTACTTAAAATATTAAAAAAATTCATTAAAAACAAAATAATACGGAAAATAAGAAAATAGAATTTTCTGAAAACTGTTTTCAGAAAAACGAAACCAAAAAAGCTGATTTATTTTTAATTTAAAGATTATTTTAAAAAGATAATTATAATCAATTTTGTAATTAAAAATTGATTACAATTAACTTTTTGTGAAAGAGAAAAGTAGGTTATAATCTAGAAAATAAATTATAACCTATTTCTCAAAAGACTCCTTAATTTTAATGATCTGATTTATTTATATTTTAAAATTTATTAAATATATTATATTTGTAAAAAATTAAATTGATCAAATATCAAAAGTTATCAAATTAAAAATTATTTTTTTAAAATTTAACAAATAATTTTTTAAAAACATACTTTCTAATATCCGAATAATTTAATCTTTTTTTAATATCCAATTAATTTAATCTTTTACAAATACGATGGCCCTGTTTGGTACAGCTTAATTTCAGCTTATTTCAGCTTTCAGCTTAATTTAAGCTATTTTGATGTGTTTAGTTTAGCTTATAACTTATAGCTTATAGCTTTGTGGAAGTCAGAAAACAGCTTATTCTTTAAGTAGGACAGGAGATGCTTTAAGAATAAGCTGAAAATCAGCTTAAGCTGAAAGTTATAAGCTATAAACTGTTTAGGCATAGGCTATAAGCACTTTCCCACGGCTCTAACAAAGAGGGCCGATATACTCCAATGTACCCACCATCATCTCCATTGTTCTCATCAGTTCTCTCTGTCCACCTTCACTCCTCTAATCGCTCACACGCATCAACCACCCTTATCTCTAACGCTCCCTCCAGAACCACACTCTCTGCTCTCAAAATGGCCACTGGGTAGGTTTACTCCTTTCTCATAATTCCCTTTTGGTTCCTCAGAAAACTTGGGGAAAATATAAATAACCATTTTTTTTTTTAAACAATCTTATTTTATTCTAATTTTTCCAATTGGATTTATTTTTTTAATCAATTGTCTTATTTTACTCCAAATTTCTCGGAAACCAAACAGAATCTTGATATATCTGTGCATTTTTCGCTCCAAAATTTGTTTGTGCCTGTCTCTCGCAGATGTGTGCACGAAGTTCTTCCACCTGCTCTTGATTCTACTTCAGATCCACCTGCAATCTTCGATGGGACGACAAGGTATAAGGTTCAGAATTAATGCACTTTCTTTTGGGTTATTTGATTTTGATTTTTTTTTTTTTTAGCATTTCCCAGTTGCATCTATGTGTTTGTTTCAATATACCCATTTGAAATTTTTGCAATTTTTTTGGACTTGTTCCTGTAAAATTGATTTTGGGAATTGTTGAATTTCTTGATTTTCAGGCTGTATATTTCCTACATATGCCCATATGCCCAACGTGCGTGGATTACCCGAAACTGTAAGGTTGTTTTCCAAACTGTTCTTGCTCTGGCTTCTGCTTAATTTGCTCTCTCTCTCTCTCTCTCACTCACACACACACACACACAGAGGTTAAGATTGTATATCATTTGAATAAAGTGTATTTGTTTTGGACACATGTTTTCATTTATTTGTTTTCTTTATTTTGGAAAACAGGGATTGCAGGAGAAGATAAAATTGGTTCCTATTGATCTGCAAAACAAGCCAACTTGGTACAAGGAGAAAGTTTACCCGCAGAACAAGGTGAAATTATTCTAATGCAGTCAGTGCTTTATGGGTATTTCGACGAATGATGTATATGAAATTGTTCCAAATGGTTTTATATGATGCAAAATGAAATTCTCTGAAATGTCAAGTAGAAGAGTCAAAGTGAATTACAATAGAATGACTTCATTGCTTGAATATTACAGATTTACAAAAACTTGATGGCTTAATTTTAAGGGAAACTTGTGAGAATTTAGAAATCTTACAACTCGGTTATGAGCCAAACAATGGATAGTTCTGATAAGAAGATGAAATTGAGATGAGACAAATAGGTTGCTAATAGTTGTGTCAGTATATAATACACACTAGCTGCGGGTGCACACACAATGCTACGTGCAAAGATCTATAGTTTATGATGTGTGCAAAGCTTTGTAGTTTATAATGAATAGAAACCGTCCATGTTTGTGAAGTTTTAAATATCTAAACCCATTTGAATTTTCACATGACCGTTCTCAAACTAATCAATTGTTGGGGGCATTTTTGGAAAATCAAAAAAGCGTGACAAAAATTTCATGTCCACACCAAATAACATGTACACTTTATATAATGGTTTAGATATATCACTTCCAGACAATGTACCATTTTCTGTTCATGAATTTAATAAGCTCGGACAAGGCGGATTTGGTGTTGTTTACCGGGTAATTGAACATTCAATTACAAATAAGTTATATCCTTCATGTTTAAAACTACATTCTCTATTTGATGAAAATAGTTTAATTTGTTTAACATCAATTTTGTGCATCTTCAGGGTAGGCTTCCAAACAGACAAGAAATAGCTGTGAAAAGGCTATCTAATGATTCTAGACAAGGAGAACTAGAATTTAAGAATGAGGTTATGCTAGTTGCCAAGCTTTAGCACAGGAATTTGGTTAGACTCCTAGGATTCTTCCTTGAAGGAACAGAAAGAATTCTTATTTACAAGTTTGTGACCAACTCAAGCCTCGATAACTTCATATTCGGTATGATTGTGGTGTTGTTTTCCTATACATTGCATTGTCATCAACTTCATCTAAACAACATCTCTAAATATATATATTGTCACAGCTTTCCATCAAAGAGAGGACACTATAGCAAAAATATATCTTGATGCACATATCAGTTTCATCATATAATAACGCCTAAAACTAGAATCCTTGAAGTGCATTTTTAGATGATTTAATAAATTTTGAGTTTTGATTCAACCTTCTACTTGGATAAACATGTAGATCCCATTAATCGTTCACAATTGGATTGGGATAAGCGTTACAAGATCATAAGAGGAATTGCTCGGGGACTTCTATATCTTCATGTAGATCCCCTTACCTATCTTTTTTTGAGTTTGCTCTTCATGATTTACAATTGTTGTGTAATTGTTCTATAGAATTTACATTAACTTGTAAGAATGATCAACTTCCCTGGCATTTATAGTACATATATTAGCTGATTTAAGGTAAGGGAATGTGATCTAAATATTTTTAATCACACTTAAAAGATGTGATCTAAATATTTTTAATCACACTTAAAAGGTGTGATCTAGATGTTATTAAGCACACTTAAAAAGTGTGATTAAAAATGACCCTTTTTAATCACACTCCCAAAGATCACACTTTAATAAAACTTAAAAGGTGTGATTAAATAACATACATCACACAAAAAAAGTGTGATCTTTATCTGTTTTTGTAGTAGTGAGTGGACGTCTTTAGATAGTTAGATAGTTACTTCTTTTTCATTTCAGCCCAGTTGATTGCATCCATTGGACTTCTGCTGCACAACTATCTTTGCTTGAAGACGAAATGCGGAGGGTAGAAAGAGTAAATGTGAGGCACACGCTTAAAGTTTCATTGCTTCGCAGTTTATTTTACAATAATTTGTGTATCTGATATCACTATGTTGAATCTGTTTATAGTTAACAGAATTTGTGACTTTTTGGCTTGCTGTTGTCTATTTTCAAGTTTAAATATTATCTTTATTGCAGATCCAAGGGATTTAACATCATTTTCAAAACGGGTTCAGGCCCAAAAATCACCCCAAAAATCTGAATATCTGGGCATGACTTGCCTTTTAGACATGATGTTACTTGGGTTTCACTGGTTTCTTAACATAGAATTCATAATTTCTTTTATGAGTTACATCTTTGGAATGATATTAGAGACTAGTTTTTCTTGCTTGATATTCTACTGTAGAGATGAATTCATCAGGACACCTTGAAGAGACCAAATAATCTTTCAAAACTTATCTTCTAATATGTGACATTGTCAGTTACTTTAAAATAAAAATAAATAAAAAATAAAAAGGAAGAAAATCTTCATCTCACATTAAAAGTATGCCTTAGTACTGTGCATGATAACTTTGTTCATTTGTCAAGTTCATTAAAAATAAAAACTGAAATAGTTAAAAATTAACGGTTTTCATTAATGACAATCAGGTTGCACTGATGCTTTCAGAAATGGGATCTTCTTTGGTGGATGTTTTTAGAATGGTAAGACCTCAATTCTTAATTGTTCATTGTACAATTCCTATAGGGATGAACTGAGTGATGGCTTGCTTGTTACATGGTCTTGGGTAAGACTCAACTCAAAAACTAGCTATTGAGGTAAGGGTGCGCTCATGCTTATATACTTAATGTTACTTTAGTAATGTGGGACTTTGCTTCACACCCTCCCTCATGCCCAGCGTGCTCACTCGGCAGCACTTGCGATGTGCATACCAGGGACACACACCCTACCCATACCTGAGTACTCTGGCTTTGATACCATGTTACATGGTCATGGGTAGAACTCAACTCAAAAGCTAACTATTGGGGTGAGGGTGTCCTCACGCTTATATGCTTACTAGTAATCGGGTGATATGGGACTTTTGTATAGGAATTAATGTTGAACTTTTGTGTAGGAATTAATGTTGCCATCTTGGAGACTATTATTTGTTTAGTTGATCAGAACATAGTTTAGTTGAATGGTTTGACCATGCCTCATTGTCCCTGATAACCTCCTGAAATGTAGTAGTGCTCAAACTTTTGATTCATTTGTGAAAGTGAATTACTTTGTAAAAACAAAGTTGATATCTATTTAAAGAACCTAAAATATTTATGCTGCTTTTGTGCCTTGTATGGTTTAGTGAACTTGATTGCAATTATTCAGGCACAACGTCTTGTGTTATTAACACCTTTTCAGATTTTCATAGGATTCGATGGAATTTAATTATTTTCCTGATGACAACTTTCTTTTATTGAATAAAGTGTCAAATTATGCTCACAAATTCCTTCATCTATTTCTAAATGCTGGTTCTTTAATCAGTTACTAAGTTCTTCAGGTGGCATTTCAAAGAGGTTGTGGTACAAGGAATGGATAGTTTGATATTTGCAGCTCTTTAGTCAGTAGTTATTTGATGGCAATGCCGCATTTAATACTTATTGCTGTCATCAATAGGCAAAATCATTGAAAACCTTGACAAGTTTTCTAGCAGCAGACCTTGTCTCTTAGGAAGATCTCTGATAGAGATAATTAAACTGCTAGCATACTTTAATCTTTTCAGTATTAATGTATTTGATTATTATTTTTCATCAAATTACTCCAATGTGACAGGCAACCTCTCGATGGGAAAAGAGACAAGCTAAAATGTTGGTAAAAACTCTGATATTTTTTCCTTTTTCTTCATTTTCTTTTTTTGTGGGTTCTTCTGTATTGAATTTCAGCTATTATTTGGTGTCTCAATATTTTTCATATCTATGTTTTTTTGATTTTATAAAAGCCTTTCTTGTAATCTTCTTTATTCATTATTAGCAATGCATTTTTAAACTGCATTGCCTACAATTTCACATGGCAATTATTATTTGTATTAGTGAAGCAAATGTTTCCTAAATAAGCCACAAACATGGAATGACGAGAATGATGGCATTCCAGTTGAGATATATATTAAACCTACGATTTTCTTTATGTTTTGACCTTGGATATTGTCTGCATCATGTTTCATCTTTTAATGTTGCACTGGGCAGGTATATTTGTTATGTTCATTGATTTTTGTTATTATAAATCAAAACAGTGTTAGGTTTGACGAATGGCTTATATATATTGTGTCCAGGCAAAAGCTAAAGTGAGGATGATGAAGCAGAAGGGTTCTGATCAAACTGAATCATATTGGAGCAACCTCTGGGGTAAGCCCAGAGACTATCAAAATACAGGTAACAAGGATTCAACAAAAAAAATTGCTGATTTTGATGTTTAAAATCATGGAAAGCAGTCTACTTCTATTATTCTGATATAAATATTTTGTCAAGTGCAAATATCAGCTCTATTGTTTCTCTCATATGTTTCCAAGAATTCTTTAGCTCGATTGAGTATACATTGTTGGCATGTGTTTGTTCCTAAAGTTGTAGAATGTGGTAAAATAATACGGCATATGCAAACTTGCATTGACATTTCCACTGAAATTTATTATTTCTTTCCATTAGGTAAAATGCTGTCCAAATTAATGTTTCGTGTACTTTGGGAAGCAGTGTATGTTGCATATGCCGACCTATATGCAACATACACTGATCGAAGCAGTGTAAAATACTGTCCAAATTAATGTTTCGTGCATTTTCCATTAGGCAAAAGTACAAAAGTGTTATTGGACAGCATTTTACTTTGGTCGGCATATTACATTACATTATACTACATTGCAAAAGTGTACTTTGAATTATATATCAGTTTCTTTATTCATGTTGCCATGGTTGAGAACAAAGGGACATTGTTCCTTGCTTTGTAGTTTTGGATATCATCTATAATTTATTTATTTTTCTTTATTATTGGCTATTTCTTACAAAGTGAGATTGTTTGTGCAGTTCTGATAGAGTCCTTCAAACTCCTTATCAAGGTTGGGTGATGGCCATTGTGAATTGTTGATGCTTTTAAGCTTAATCCCCTCAATTGAAGGGAAAGCCTAATTCTTATTATCACTTGATACTTTCTTTTAACAATTGCAGGTTACGGCACTTCTAAGTGGTTTTGCAGGAGTTTACACAGAGGTAAATTCTTTAAGCATCTATCTGCCTCTTTTGTTGTCTGGAACTGCAGTGCTTGTTCAATGCATGATTAGTGCTCAAATGAATTGCACAGCCAATATGTGCCAAAAAAAGAATTGCTCAGCCAATAGGATATGATCAGAAATTTGGTTGATTTTGGTTGGTAAATAGTTAAGTTAGTAACTCCCTAAAGAGGATCTTGATTGATGCTATGCTGAAAAGAAAGTATTTGGAATTCTCAATTGAGTACTTTAATAGTCATTATAGTTACTAGGTTTGCTTCTCTATCTCTATTCATACCCTTTTAAATCTATAACTAGTAAGATTTTATTGTTTCGAGTGGATGCAATGAACACTTAAAATTTGTGATTTTCAATGTGTACCTTTTTCTTTTTTTTTTCTTTTTTGGTTGTATTAGATGGCCCTTCTATTCTGTATTTTAGGTGATCAGCATTAACCTTCTTGTTTAATAATAGCTTTTTTCACATGTTTTCTAACTTTTTGATGGTGCACACACCACATCTCTGACTTTGTAATTTTACAAAGACTCTTATTTTCATTAAACCATTTACACCCTATCTCATTTATCCTTTCTGAACAGAGCCTTCTGGACACTGTTTCGAATTGGCTATCTGACTGTACATTTCTAGGGCCACATGTTTTCTTAAGTCCTAAGTCAAGATTAATTTGTATCAATTTCACTATCCTCACTATCACTACCCTCTGTCCTGGTAACAACTGAAGTTAATCACATTGATTTGTCTTGCTGCAACTACTCATTGTCTTTGTGCACCTGCTGCCAGATAAATTTACTTAATTTCATTGATGTTAAAATGCAGGCAGCAAAGAGAAGCCAAACACTTCTTCCTTCTCAGGTAAATAGGGGTAGCTATTGGGCTGAAACTTTTGCATTCTAAGATTTAAATAGGGTATTTGGGGAATCACTGTCTTTCATTCTTTCTTGTGAACTTTGTACAAATCAATAGGCCTTGGAATCTAATCCATAACTTGCTAATGCATGAATCCCCTTTTTTCCCGTCTGGTGGTGGGAGGGTGGGGGTATAGGATTTTGGATATTGGACTCCTTGAAAATATTTATTAATGATAGTTTGATAACCGCAAACATGTTGCATTCTTTCTTATCCTCCACCTCCCCAAACAACTCTCCAATTCTCTCTCTCTTTCTCTCTCAGATGAATTATGTTGGAAGCTTATTAGAGGTTTGCTTACATTATTTTTTCTTTGTACTTGCCATAGTGGATGAACCATGCATAGGGATTGACTTCTTCAAATGAGTCTCAATGAAAATTAGCAAATGCATTTCCTTAATTACTATTTATTCCTTTTTTTCCCCCCTCTCTCTTTATATATCTGAAGGTGAATGATAACCGGATTATTCTTGACAAGACTCTTACTGATCAAGTGTCTATATGGAAAAGTAGCAGAGGCCTGACTGATAAGGTGGTCTTGGACCATGATTGCTCTGGAGAAACATGTACATACTATCAAATTGGAGATGTATTTGTTTGTGAGAAGACTGGGCAGGTTCATGGTATGAAACACTAGTTGTGGTTATTGAATGTGGCAACCTTGTTTGTTTGTTTAATAAGTACAATTACATAGATTTTTATTAATGGTTTATGTTTTTTGTTCATGCAGTTTGTGATGATACATGTAGAGAAGCTGTTTTGGACCCTACAAATGAGCTTTTGGTTTGTACAATATCTGGACATTGTTTTGATAGATTGCTGTCACCAGCTGAAATGGAACCAGACACTGTAAGAGAGATCTCCTCTAGCTTATACTTTTGGCTTTTTGTCATAAAACACACTTAGACCTGTTAAAAATATGAAAATGAAAAAAGAAGAGCTAGACCTTCACTGTGCATGTCTATGGCTATCATGTGATGCTGTTGCCTCATATACTTCACAATACATATATGAACTTATGATTGTTGGACCATCATCTCTTCATAGTGTAATCCTTTTCATTTGGTTAATCATATATGCATGTGTTTCAAACTGCAACCAGGGTGATAAATGTAATTGGCTAAAATCTTGTTATCTCTTTAAAATAATGGTTCCTTCTTTTACTCCTACAAAACTAGGAGCAACAGACTTTTAATTCAATAAAAGTCATCACCATCTGCTAAAGAACTAAATAAACTAAACTTCCTAGCGAAAGTTAGCACACGGAAGCTTGTCTTTTATGATTCAATGTTTTATTTTATAACTGTCCAGGAAATAAATATAACTGCTCAGTGCTTAGTGTTCACAAATAGTATATAATTTTTGATCATCATACAGGTGGATTCTGTAGTTTACCTTGTTGACGCGTACAACAAAGAGAGATTTGCAGAGGCCAAAAAGGAGCTGGATGCCCTATATAAAAAACAACAACAATACTGAACAATACTCAACGTTGTTAACACCAGATGTTCTTTTTTTTTTAAATTGATGCTAATTATGTTAAATTTTTGTTGGAATGAATTGTTTTTTATTTTTTGGGGTTTAGAATAGGGTTTTGTGAATTGTTCCTTGTTTTTGGAATCAATGTTGCTGCTGCTGAGTTATGTGTTGAAACTTGGATATAGAAAATTTTATAATAAGACCTGTTTTGATAATGAATTCGTCCTATTTTGATTATGAATTCGCTAAATATTACAGGTGTATTATTTTCCTGCTTTGGCGACCAATTTATTAGTCGCGACAAATAAATTATTTTTTTTCGCGAAAAATGGCAATTGCCGACCAAGAGTTTTGGTTGCAAAAAATACATCCATTGCCGACCAAAAATTTTGTTGGTCGTGGAAATTCACTTTTGCCGACCAACAGTTTTGGTCGCGAAAAGTAACAATTGGCGACCAAACTAATTTTGGTCGCACAATGTCACAGTTGGCGACCAAAATTTTTAGTCGCGAACTGTCACAATTGGCGACCAAACTTTTTGGTCGCGAAATGTGTCAATTGGCGACTAAGAAATTTGGTCGGCAAAAGGCGACTTTTCGCGACCAAAGTGTTTTAGCGACAAAATGAATTAGTCGCGGTAATTAAATATTTAGCGACCAAAAAATTAGTCGGCAAATCCAACTTTTGCCGACCAATGAAAATTTTGGTCGCGAATTACTTTTGCCGACCCTCAATTGGCGACCAAACTAGCGACCAAAAAAATTGGTCGCGAATAACTTTGGCCGACCAAAAATAGACTTTTAGCGACCAATATTTTTGTTGCTTAAAGTGTTAATTGTTGTAGTGATTTATAAAATTAATTTGAAATGTTTGATTTCTCACATGGTTTTGATTTATGAAATGGGTTTGATTCTTTAATGGGAAATGGGTGTTGATTTTCTATGGTTTTGAAAAGCTTTTGATTGATAAAATTAATGGAACGAAGACTGAAGTGAGTCTTTCTGAGTAGAGAATTCTAATTTTATATAACGAAACAGAGGGTGTTTTTTAAAAAAAAAAAAAATTGGAAATTGGAAGAAGAAAAGAAACATACATTTTTTGTGTTGGATGGGTTTATTTTTTGTGGGTTAAGAAAAGAATGAGTTGGTTTTTTGTATTAATTTTTGACATTTTAGCTAATGTTTCAAATTTAACCAATATAGATAGGAGTTAAATTAATCTTTTATTTTTATTTTTATATATGATTATGGATGTATATATATCTATACATATGATTCCAATATGTATGTATATATATATATGGATGTATATATATATGGATGTATATATATCTATATATATGATTCCAAACCCCAAACCCCTTGTATATATATGATTCCAAACCCCAAATCCCCTATTTATGTATGATTCCAATATGTATATATATTGAGAAGCCATGTCTAAGAAAGCCATGTCTAACAAAACCTGTGCCAATTAATTAACAAACTAAAGTGGGTTTCTGCTTTCTAGGAAACCAAAACAACAACAGTTATAGGGCAATGTAAATGTTTACATGGGTGATCACATTATGATTGAAAAGCAGAAGGTGGAATGGTATTGCTTACTTTTGTTCCTCATGGTGGGTGGGTATGGACCACACTCAGTCGATGAAATAAACTCAGTCCACCGACGGGAATTTTGGAATGACAAAGCACCCTCTTTCCGATGTAAACCTTCGCAGCGATGAGATGAAGAGGAATCTGGGGTCGACGGTGGACGATGACGATAGTGAGGTGATGTGAATCTAGGGTTATGGTGAGGCGATGTGAATCTAGGGTCGACGATCAGTTTTTGTTTTGGAAAATTTGTGGATTGAATAGTTGGAATGGGAATGGGTTTTCAGAATCGATTAGACGCGGGAGAGGCGGAGGAGGGTTATTTCATCCTTTTACAATTAATGGACCTAATGGAATGTTCAAAAACAGTTTTGGTTTTATGGAATAAAACAGTTATAAATAGGATTTATCAAAAAAGAGCCCTTGTTCTTTCTACTTGGGAGTTGATTATTTAAAAAATATGGTTCAATTGGCAAGGGAAAACATGTGTGTTCATTCTTTCTACTAGAGGAGGGGAATATACTAAGATCAAGGGAGCGGGACGATGTTAAGATTAGAGGAGGAAAACATGTTAAGATTAGTTGATGGCTATTGGATGACTTTAAATCTTTTTAATTTGGCTATTTTTTAAAGCAACAATTTCTATTCTAAAGTTGTCTATAGTTGATGTTATTGATGATTTTCACATTAATTTGACACACTAGATTAATTGCAGGAATTATTTTTTTTACAAAATTAAATTTCACCGTTTAAGCAGTTTTTCATAGGCGGTTTTATTGTTGGGATGCTATGCATTTAGTTTTTCAATTTACAATTGACTGCAAAATTCACTGTTTTAGGATGATGATTCGTGTGTTTTGTTATATAGATTGTCTATTTTTTGTTGAGGTGTCATTACTTTCTTCAAATTGATTGGAAAATTATTCTTTCAGATTTAATTTTCTTATCTTCATATGTAAACAATTTCTATAGACTACTATTTGTCAGGTTATACTTTGCATTTGGCCTAATCCATGCTGTCTGTTTTATGTTATTTCAATCAGATATTTGTAGTTTGAGGTACTGTGACACTCACCAAGTGGTCATGCCAGCCTTGAGGAGAATTTCAGAAGCATATTTTTGATGGGACATGAAGTAATTAGTTCCCACAGGTTGAATAGAAACACCGAGAAAGTAAGAAATGTTGCCTAATCATAGGATGAACATTGGCAGAAGAACTGGGAGGAAGAGAGGAAGAGAGGAAGAAGGTACAGATGGTAAGTCTATAAAAATAGAGTTAATAGGAATAGGAACAAGAGATGAAGGAGTTGGATTGGAAGGCTGAAGAGGCGGAGATGAACTCGTAGGAGACTCGGACAGAGGAGCAGCAACAGCAGACAGAGGAGCAACAGCAGGAGCAGTAGCAGGAGTAGTGGGCATAGCAGAAGATACAGAAAGAGAGGGAGGCCGAGATGTAGGACAAGGAAGAGGAGTATGAGGATCACCAGATCTAAAAGGAGAGCTAGAGGACCAAAAGAAGGACTGTAAGTTTGAAGCAGAAAAAGACTTAGAAGGAGGCTGAGCAGTGGTAAAAGGAAAGATATCCTCATTAAACAAAACATGTCTAGAAATATGAATTTTCCCTGTAGCAAGATCAAGACATTTGTATCCTTTAAAAGGTGAATGATAACCAAGGAAAACACAAATCGTAGATCTAGGTTGAAGCTTGTTAGAAGTGTAGGGCCGAAGCCAAGGAAAGCATTGACAGCCAAACACCTTAAAAGAGGAATAAGAAGGAGAAGAATGAAATAAAATTTCATAAGGAGACTTATTAGAAAGCTTAGAGCTAGGCATCCTATTAATGAGATAGGTAACGGTGGACACTGCATCAAACCAATACTGTAAAGGTACAGAAGAATGATGTAACAAAGCAATGGTTGTTTCAATGATGTGCCTGTGTTTGCACTCAGAAACACCATTTTGTGGAGGTGTATAAGGACAAGACATTTGATGAAGTATACCATGAGCTTTTAAAAATTGAGTCATTGGAGTATTAACAAATTCAGTGCCTCCATCAATTCATAGGACTTGCAGTTTGGTGGAAAATTGAGTTTCAACAAAAACCTTAAATTCCAAAAATTTTGAAAACACTTCACTCTTGTAACACAACGGATAAATCCATGTAAACCTGCTAAAATCATCAACAAAAAGCACATAGTACTTATATGGAGACAAAAAAGAAAAAGGACCCCACACATCACTATGAATGAGAGATAATGGTTTGTTTACAATAGAATTAGAAAGCATAAAAGGAAGTCTATGGCTCTTGGCCACACAACAATGAACACAAGAAGACAAAGGAGCCAAGGTTTTATTAGCAATATCAGGTAAGTGACTTTGCATATGTACAAATTTCAACTGAGATGGATGGCCCAATCTCTTATGCCAGACTTCAGCAGAAACAGCTCCAGTAGTGGAAGTATGAAGAACATGAGATGAAGAAGGAGGAGAAGAGGTAATAGGAAAATGATATAAACCATGAGCACTAAAGCCCTTGTGTAAGACTACCTTCAAAGCCTTGTCCTGAACCACAAATGAAGAATCATCAAAAGTAACAGTACAATTATTGTCTTTGGTAAGTTTATGAATAGAAACAAGATTTGAGGAAATAGGAGCATGTAAAACCTTGGTAAGCTTAAAAGAATAATGAGGAGTAGGCAAAATACCTTTCCCTGTATGTTGGATAGGCAGAGAAGTACCATTGCCAACTGTAACTTGATCAGTACCTTGATATGGTTAGTACATGCTAAGATTGGAGAGATCGTGTGTGATATGATCAGTAGCACCTGAATCAAGATACCAAGGAGAAGATTCAGGTGATGTAGAGGCAACATATGCCTTTGGGGAAGATGAATGTTGTGAGGGAGGATAAGAAGAAGACTGAGAATAAGTAGTATCCAATCGATGCCAACAATCAGAGGCAATGTGATTGGCCTTTCCACAAATTTGACAGATGAGTCCAGAATGGAATGGTTGTCTGCCTTGTCTGCCTCTGCCTCTAGAAGATCTGCCCCCGCGGAAGATACCTCGAGAGGAGCCTCGGTAATCAGGACTGGATCTATCACGAGAATATAATGAAGAATATGAGGAAGAAGAACCTGAATGAGAACCTCTTGTAGCAGAATAAGCAACAGATGAGTCTAGATTCTGACTCTTTCTTTGTTTTGCTTCAATGTGAATAGATTCAGAACAAAGCAGAGATGTCAATTCAGCCATAGAAATAGCATCAACTCGTGCACGAATGGTAGTTTTAAGAGCATCAAATTCATCAGGTAATCCATTTAAAGTAATCAACACAAGATCTTCTTCATCAACGGGTGATGAAGCTAAAGCTAGTTGATCAGCAAGATCTTTAATTTGACTCAA